TGAATACAATGCACGGTTTTGGCTCGGCGGACACTGACAAAAATTCCGATGACGAGGACGATGGAGACAGGTGAGGCACTTGTGATGCGTTTATTGCACTCGCGGCCTCGACCACGACCGTCGTCATCGCGACGTCAAGTTCTCCGAAAACGAGCACACTTCGACGGACGTTCCGCCACCATCTACGACTTCTCTCCTCGTCTCTTCGCTCTTCTGCCGCTTATCCCGTCGGCAGGAATCACAGACAATTAATCATAAAAAGCGCGCGAGGGTTCCATGCTGCAGGTACGCGCGTATCAATGCCTCGGGACGGTGCAGTGGTGCAGGAACGAGCGACGCCAGTGCTACGACACGACGATCACGACACGTAGAAAAAAAGGAATCCGCGAGCTGGGCGGAACGAGGGGGAGAAGAGGAAACGCGGAGAACCGGTTCCGTGGGGAGTTTGGTGCCCCTCGACAGCTCGACGAGCGCGATCCGAGGCTCGCCATCGTCGTCATCATCGTCATCGTCATCGTCGTCGTCATCGTCATCGTCGTCGTCATCATCGCCACCGCTGACTCGGTTCGGTTCGACTTGACTTCTTCTCCCGCGAGAATGCTTCTGCTCCGGTGCACTACCTACCCACCTACCTACCTACCTACCAACCTACCTACCTACCTGTTCGCCCTGCCTGACTGCCTGCTTGCTCCTCCTTGCCCGCTTGTCCGCCCATATCTGCTTACCTACCATCCTACCTGCCTACCTTCGATGGCTTCGACCGCGAAGGGGGCCCTCGCGGAATTCCTGGCCGCAAGACTCCATCGCTTTTCACGAAGGGGGCACGAAACGAGATGCGAGCTGCTGCACTCGCCTGGATACAGGGATGCAGTCTCACAGGAGATATTTCACGATGGCTGCAGATGCAACTCTCGCGATTTTTACCTTTTGCTTGCACGAAAAGAACATTTCAATTTTTGTTGAGAAAAAATATTCTAAATTTTAATAAATGTTTATTTGAATAATATCAACTATAAATATTTACATACTTACATATTTATAGTAAATGAATATTTATTTAATACAAAATTATAGTTAAATCATTAATTTTTATACAAAATTAATATATCTTTATATTTAATACATATTTAATTGGCACTGTTTACATAAATGATTTATTAAAATATCTTTATATTATCGCGAAATTTAAACGCGACTTAAACATGGTTTAACTTCAAGTATTATCTATTTCTTTATATTGCATTCTCTCATCTAGATGTAACATTTAAAGAAGCGAGAGCAACTTCAACGCGACGCAAAAACTCTCTGCGGTTTCACGGTGCGTAGTGGCGAGGCAAAAAAAATGGAATAAAATTGCATTAAACCGGAGATTGCAAAAGTCTAGCGTCAAGTATCATAAAACTTTTCTTTACTCTTTAATCCTTACCAGAGATTTGTACTTTCTTCAGTATTCAGTCCTGAACCAGTTTTAGGTATATCTTTCGCCTATCTATCTTTAATTTAAAAAGAAAAAGCAAAACTGCTTGAGGGGAGGAAGAATAATTTTGTATCGTAAGACATTCATGTTCGATCTACGTTAATCTCCAACAATATCCCTCAAGTCGATCGAACGTATCACAAGCTGTAATCTCAACATACCGCTCTGACATTTTGATGAATCCCGATGAAGGATGGGCGCGACGATACGAACTTTAATGAGCTACAAACACTCGAGTCTCCACGCCATAGAAGAGCCGTGAAGGAGAGATAAACTGAGCTCAAATACGATATGCAAAATGTCGGCTATACAAAAGCCATCGATTTACGCGTCGTCGACGAGTGACGAGAGGAAAGCAGGACGCAGAAACATCGCCTCGTGATTTCTTTGTCGCGTGTTTCGCGCAAATAATGCACGTACCTCGCGAATCTCATTCGCTCGCTCGCTCGCAAGTTGCATTCCTGCACCGGCGGGATGATAAGCGCATATGTATACGATTGCTCGTTACTATTGTGTTTGCCGCGAGAACAAAAAGGTTTACTAAATCTTAATACATATTTCTTTGAATAGTGTAAGTAAACATTTAATTATATTAATATTACTCAAAAAAATTATATCACTTAAATTATTTTTTTATCAAACAAAAAAAAATGTAACTACACTCTAAACTTTTAGAATGAATTATTACTCTCAAGAGTGAAATCTTAGAAAAAGATATTAAAAAAATTATTTGTGAAAAATATATTTATTTCACTGAAATAAATCTGTACTTAAATACAGTGAAATAAAATTTTATTCCTAACAAGTAAGCCATCTATTGTATTTTATTTTTTTTACAGTTAATATATATTTCGTCACAATCAATTTTTTTCATAACTAATAAATATCGAAAAAAACGTCGTGAATAACATTTGTTTCGCAATACTTTGACATTTTTCTCTCAGTGTGAGATTCCACTTCAAAGAATTTAGAAAGAGAGTATATTTATATTTACCTAGAGCTAAATAAATATGTATTTATTAGAATTTAATAATTTTTTTTTTCAATATACGGATCGGCATGGAGAACCGATCGACTAGGCGGTCGACAAGCTAGGCTTCGTCGGCCCCGGCACTGACCTTGAACGTGCCTTGGAGCCTTCGAGGCTTGCCGGGCGTGCTATAGATGCGAGCTGCTTTAAAAGCAGCACGTCTCGTTCCTTTCGTCGTCACCGGGCAGTGGAGGAACGCAGGGGTGTACTCTCGAAAAAGCTACCACCAGATTGCTATTGTTGCAACTGCACTCGCGGTGACGCGACACTGCGCCATATCATCATTCACCATATCTCTATCCGTTTCGCGGCGACCGATATTCTCGTTCCGAAAGTAGAAAGGATAAGAAAAATTATTTGTGGGAGCGAGATTTCTCTTGCTGCTCTAAAATTGCTTGCCAATGTCGATTAAGAATTATAGATTATGCGAGAATTAATGTTTATAAAAAAATAAAGAACGGTTCTTGTAAAATAAACATAAGATAATAATTGATTGATTATTAATGGGTTGTCCGGAAAGTTCGTGCTGATGTTGAAGGAAAATTGAAACGCAGAAAATTTTAATTTAATAAATGTATACTAAAATTTAAATTTTAGTCGGCACGAACTTTCCGGACAACCCAATATGTCATGCCTAAGTGTGTTGTTCTTGTAGTGTGACACCAAAAGAATAATTGCTATAAAAATGCGAAAGAATACTGTTTTACTATTAAAATGTTTTATGTAAGTTCCATATAAGAATATATAGTATAATAAACATAACATTTTCTCAATATATGCAATATTACGTTATCTTCTAAAAGTCAAGCACTCCACATTGTTTTATGTAGAGACTTTGTTGATTTTCTCATCCCTTTTCCCATGTGCAGTTACTGTGCAGCACTTAATTCATCCTAATTCTCCCAAAGGAAATTCCGCGGATGGCGGCAGGATATTTTCCTTCTAATTTTGTGGCTATGCTACTCTATTATTATGACACAAATGATAGTTATGATGCACGAATTTCTGCGCCTCTTACATATCTCGTATGTTTATTCAATGTAAAATTGTTTGTTTATCAAACATATGAAAATCAAAAATATAAATCATACGAAAATATAAAATTATATTCTGTAATATACAATTTATATTCCTATGTCGTAATTATTTATAGAATATGGTTTTTACAATTTACAGAAGAATATGTGATTATTGGAATATAATTATAAGCAGTATTTTGTGTGATTTTCTCTGGCTTTTAGAAATATTATCATTAGTAAAAAGTAACAATTTAACAATGTTATCAGATAGATTCTCAGTACATATGTATATATATCTTCATTATAATAATTATTAAAATAATTTTCAAGTTTTTGCTTAAAGTTTCTGCGGTTCTCTAATTTTGGAAGACTAATATACTATGACGTATTGTTTCTTCGCGTGACATTGATTCTGATCGGAGTATACCCATCGCGCTTAAAGGATCTAATCGTTAACGTAGATGCAATGAAAGCATTCAGCAGAAACTGATAGTTGTGAGCCTTTGAAACAGTTTCGAACTTGATATTGCTGAAGCTCTTAAGACAAGTAATGCTTTGTTGCCAATAAATACCGATATTGACATTGTGACGATTTTATTGTGGTTTTGCAAGAAGGAAAAGATTTATTTGTTGCAATGATTATTTGTTACAATGATGTTATTAGTTCGATTAAATTTTCTTTCTTTTAATTGCTAGGATTATTAATATGCTTTCCTGTGTAGAAATGTTTGCTTTTTCGAGATTAAATAATTTAATATTTTACGTAAAATCCATTAATGACGAAAAAACATTTATCGCGTGTTTGTTTATTTGAGTTACAAACTTGCGTTTAGGAGGGAAATATATGTTTGTCGATATCGGTTGCCATAAAAAAATAGGAAAAAAAAACCAGCGTTTCATTTGCACCGTTGCATTTGCGATGTATCACGATCAATAAATCGTTGGTGAACTTCCCAATCTCTCGAGCAAAGCTCGAGTCGCATAGGAAGCATTTACAAACAGTGTACCAGAACATTTCGCTCGTTGGTTTGCGACTACTTGGAATTCAATCTTTCTAAGTGAGAGTGCGATGAGAGTTGAATGGAACACAAGTTGTTTCATGGTGGAATGAGAGTTGTATATGTTTATCTGTATTCTTGTAAACGGGTTTTTGAATTCGATTTAAGAACTGATTTAAGAATTTCTCTGAAATTCTTTTTCAACTTACTAGAGATATATGTGAAATAAATTATCGTTGATTTTACGCTATCGTTTTTAAGAAATCACGCGTGTAAAATAATGCCAAATCACATATCACGAATGAAAAATATTAAATTCTTAAGCATGATAATATTATCGATAGACAAGACTAAGTATTTTTCTGCATTAAACATTCCAAATATTTGCGAGAACGATCTAACATGCTTTAGGAGGAATTTATGTTATGAATGACATTTTCAGCATTTCCGTTGTAGTAATTTTCCATTAGCAAAGTATTTCTTCTGATATTAAATATTATTTCATATATTATTACAATTGTTATGTGTATTTAATATTACTATTAT